CCGTGGGGGCGCGCGTGACACGCTCAATGAGAGTGACGTCTTTCGCGTGTCGTGAGTAGATGACTTGGTTGCCGTATCCAAGAAGCGGTCTGACGTAGGCCCCATAGAGTATTTGGAGGTCTATGTGAGTAATGTGGGACAACGCGCGCCGGATCATCCGTAAAATGGCGAATGCCTCTTGGGCCGATATCCCAGGGTGCCACGAGAAGAACAAGTTTGATACCCAGATCCTCATTCTCATGACGTGTTCTGGTTCTTTCTCACCATGCACGACAAAGGCCTCCGCTGGGTCTCTTCCAAATGACATATGGACGCACTTTCCGTCATTTAGAGGAATGTGCCGGTCCATTGCTATGTTCGAACAAAGTCGAAGACTGATTTACCAGGCCTCGTTCAAATAAGGCGTGTGTAAAAATCATAATCGGAAGCGATGACGGTCCAGAGAAGGAGTTCAAGCACCTTGAGATGTCCTTCATAATCAACGGAGCCGTAGCCAGAACCATCTTTGCAACAGATTCTTGGACGCGCTCAATGAGGGTCGCTTCCGTGTCGTGTCCTGAGAAGACAACGTGGTTGGCGTATTCCAGGGGAGGTCTGATTTAGCCCCACAAATTACGTGGAAGTACATATAAATAATATGGGCGAAGGCAGACCAAATGATCTAAAAGACGGTGAGTAACTTTTGAGGTGACGTTTCATGCTACAATGAGAAGAAACTGTTTTTCGTAGCCAAATGCCTAGGGCCTTCCTGGTCTTTTGGTCCATTCTACTAATGCATGACGAAGTAGTTCACTGAATCTCCCCCAAACGACATGCGGGCATGCTGAAAAGAAGACGGCAGTCCAGTGTCCACCGCTTTGCGGCGTCGACATCTAGTTGAAGGGTGCTAGCATTGAAAACATAAGATTTCAGGTCGTTTTCAAAATAGAGCATGGACTCGAAAAACGTCCGGGAGACCAGAAAAAGAAGTGACCCCTAGATAGGGCCTTCTGGAACCCAAACGAACAGCGATGCAGGCTGAAATCAGGTTGACGTTTGATGCACTGGGATGTCCTATTTGAGAGTAAGAGTTTGATTCAGCGAATAACTTCCCCCTCACTTTCATTTGGCTCAAGTATTGTTCGGTCATGCAAATCCATTGATGCAATCCGAAAATATGGCGTCAGCTATGCGCCCACCGCCTTTTGGCTCTCAATAATTTATGCTCAAATGAGGGCTTCGAGGGAGTCCATTCTGCGTCGGGGAATTCGCATTCTCGGTATAGCTATGAGTGCAGATTGCTCTCCTCAGAATGAGTTCTGCCGATTTGCACGACATACTGGTGGAGCCGCAGCCGCAGCTGAGTATATGGTACAGTACAGGTTCCAGCGTGTTGGAGTGTCAGTCATAGACAGGGGACGATGATGAATTTGTCTTGGGCGTGCAAAATCAGGTGCGGTCCTGGTTGTTGGGCCGCACCTGATTTTCACTGTAATCCTGATGAGGCGGTTGTCCGCGTACACAACCATCACGCTACAAACCTTTCCGCCTGGAGCGTTATTCCTTGACGTTCAACCATTTTAGTAGGGCTCGCAGAGGGTGACAGAAGAGTTGCGATAAATATATCCACCGTAGCTATTCTCTCGTTTAGATGAAATAGACGACAACAGTCGGAACAGTTAGGTGACCAATTTGTGACCGGTTTGTGCTTTTTGGGATGAGGTTTCGAACACTTTAAGCAAGTTTAGTATTTTTGAGGCCGAGTACCCGGAAGGTTTTGAGTGCATCCGCACATGAGATAATACTGTGCAATTACGGCTGTACGAGAATACCACCATCAATGTGGCAGCTTCATTGAGTAGGTAACGCAACTGGTGTCATCAGCCACACCGACCACTCAGTGGTAAGTTGACCAACTCCTTTCGTATATTTCAGGATTAATCAGGCTCACTGAATACTACGAACCAGGGAAGTCGAAGCTCTCAGTAATCATCAGAACGGAAAGCTGAACTCAGCATTTGGGCCATCGACTTCACCCAGCTGGGGTGCGTGGTTCCTCGTCAGTGATCCAGGTCCATTTAGCAGTTCATTACGGTCGACCAGAGTTTCATCTATTCACTTAGCTAGGCGTCGTCTACCCCAAGTAGCGCGCAAGTCACACAGGCGGGCCAGCCAATGGCTTGAGTTTTTTCTTGGTTAACGGTGGGCTTGATAGTTACCGTTGTGATCAGGGGTGATCGATACACACATGTTACATCAGATCACGTGACGTTTCACTTGTGCCGATTACTGCTTGGCTTTTATTTGGCAGCACTTGTATTGAAGTACTTTTTCTGCGGGTGATCAGGGTTTGGATGTTTTCAGGATGCTATCAGCCCCTTTTTCATAATCGGCTAGACCTACATATATGGGTCACAGAAAATTCACGGCAAAATGGTCTCTTTTACTCTTTTGATGGAATTCTCTGTGTATCACCTGTATACTAAAGGCATTATGCTTTTTCCTGACAAAGTACAAATAGTGGAACTCTGAAGAGGGTTTCTATCACATTGATTACTCTGAATATCGTCATTCGAAGTGCCAAGACGGGCTTCATTACCTCTCTACCCGGGTGGGCGACACCAGATACTAAGAAAGGTACAGAAAGGAGCCTTCATACCTTTTATCAACCATCGTATTGTAATAACCATGTGTTCAGTCCTGAAGTCAGAATGCATATTAGCCGAAGCACGACAGGGGTGTTGCAATGTGGAAATGGCGGAGAACACCACAAACGAGTAGGCAAAATCCAGGGGCATGTTTATTGCGTGATGTGCGATTATTAATTGCGGAAAACAAAAAACTAGAACAATGAAGAGGAGGTTGAGGTTGATCAGTGATGCAGACAGTTCAAGTAAACTAAAACTGAAAGCCGTTGCCGATTGTGGGCGAACTTGGAGAGTTGAGTTAATGGTCAGGGACACGGAAAGCGTAAGCGGAGATCATGTGTTCGATAAATTCGCAGCGCATAACAGTGGCAATCTGCATCTCAGAAGTATGGTGTGCAACAAAACTGAACATATTAACTGGTATCGATATTGGAGGGTAGTCGAGTGTATAATAATAATAGTGTTTATTCACAACTGGTGGATGGCACAAGGTCAGGCATGATCATGCACGAACAGTCAAAATAAAAGCACAACTGTCGGGGTTTGTGGGTACTGGGGATTGTATGGAAAAGGGACAGCGTCCTAGGCACTAGTCTTCATATTCCTATTTTCCGTCCTTTGTCTACTATGTGAGTATACAGTCCGTTCTCCAGCCGTGCACCACAATGCTCATTAGAGCCAAAAACCCGAAATTATTGTTTCTTCATCTTATTTTCCATGAGGCTTGGCTTCCCTGAACACAAAATGAAGGTTTTCTTAGGATCCATCTCCAAGCCCTTTACAGCCTCCGACTCTTTCAAAGTTATCTTCAGTTCCGCCGCCGCCACCTTTATCTGTGGCTGTTGTTTCCATTCCAAACCTATCGCAACTGCGTGTGCCAAGGTAGAGGGCTTCTGTTTACTTCCGCATGGGTCAATTCCTCTTTTCAGAAAAAATGTACCACTGGCCCCTCTGTTGCCAGTTACCCTTTCTCACTCTCTTGCAGTTCTCACTATAATACCTTATCTCAAACCTTCTCAGCTAAGTTTAGCTAGTTGCACTGCCCCATACTCCGTGGTGTTGAAAGTACTCACCTGCCATCCTCAAGTTTCCCTTTAAGTAGCCCTCCAAGAGTCCCCACCATACTGTTTTTTCTACCCTTATTTCGACCTTCCTCCAGGCCATCCAGCTCGAAAGACCTTACTGCCGTTTTTCTGTCCAGCTGCCATCTTTGGGACAATCCTCTGGTGCCGTTGAAGCGGCCGTAATATATTGCTCCGCCTAGTCTGGCCTATAATTCATTATTCACAGACTTTG